GGCTGGCTGGGGAATTCTGGGGGTTGAAGTCCACCCCTCTTAAAGTGGCCAAGGTTGAGAAACACTGGTCCAGACAGTAAATCAACTTTTCCCAAACTGGGGCTTTCTAAGTATATTGGGAATACTGTACATTACGGGCTTTAAATAAAACCCTTCAGAAAATTCCTGCAGTGCACTGAGTGCTTTTAGTTTTGCAGGACAGTTTGGGGAAAACCCAGGTATTTAAACTAGCAGAGCAATCGAGACTGAGAGATGGGCAGGTGCTGGAGTTTGTAAAATCATAAGCGCCTAGGAGGTGTAAGTTTTTTTTTTTTTTTTTTTAACTCCCGAGCTTTTCCAAGATTCATCAGCCAAACCACCCCTTGTTCTTGTTTGATTAATGATGGCCAAAAGGCAGAATTCTGAAGGCCGAAGAGGATGATAAAAACTCTGAATTTCCCCGGCTTTGAGATCCGCCTCACAATCGTGGCGAAATTAAGCCAAATTCAGCACCGCGTGGAATTTCCGGCCACAGTTCCCAAGTAAAACCCCGACACTTTGACGCACCCAAGTTCCTAGTCCTCAGTGTGCAAAGCTTTGGGTCCCAAGTGGAGGGGCGAGTCCCAGGATGGAAAGAGACAAGAATTCCAGGGAAGCCTGCGCGGTTCCCAAGACTGAAAACGGGGGCAGAATTGGGAAACCTTTTGGGGAGATGAAACGAGAAGAGGTCCAGACGCAGAACTTCCAAATCAACTTTTAATGCAGGGGGTGCGGGTGGGATATTTTAACTGCCCTCCCCCCCAAGACTGGAGATTAACTGGGATTCACCGCCAGAAGTCAGAGGATGGGCTGGCTTCCTCTCCACCCCTTTTGCAGAGATGGGGGGGGAGTGCAGCTGATCCTGCCCCCCCGCCCCCTCTGCTCTTGGGGCACACCACTGGCTGAAAATCCAGGTTGAGGGGGGAAAGAGGGCTGCAATGCTGTTCGCAGACCAGCCTTCCCCAAGCACGACCCCCCAGCTGACGAGCAGACCAACTCCCAGAATTCTCAGCAACGGCCACGCCCGCTGGGGAATTCTGGGAATTCAAGCCAGACATCCCTGCTCCGCCTTCCTCCGCAGCAGCGGCGCTCACCGATCTCTCCTTCCGGCCAACCGGAGGCTTTCCAATCCCATCCCAAATGACCTACAAAGGGTTTCCTGGCCAAGTTGCAACCGAAAAGTGCGAGTTACGTGACCTTGTCCCTCTCGACACTCCGCATTCTCCTTCCGCATTCATCCCGGGGCTGGTTATCCGGGTCCAGGGGCTGCACAAGTTGCCACAGACCAGAGGCAAGGAACTGGGGGGGGGGTCCATCCTGCTGCTGCTCACATGTCTCATCCCCACGGCAAGTCCGCCCGCCCCACCTCATCCCGCCGCACCAGGCACTCAGGCACGCTTGGCAGGCTGCTAAACTTTTCCAGCTTCTAGGAAGCAACCCTCCGGACGCTGGTTTCTGCCCGAGGAGGTTACGGCCCACTCTGGGCACGGTGGAGGAAGCTGGGGGGTTGGTCTTTACCCCCCAATGCCACTTAGGGGGTGAAAAAGGAGGCAACCATGAAGGGAACGTGAATCCTGCCTGCAGAACCGAGTTAAAGCTGCCAACGAGAGGCAGGGGTGGGAGACCCGGGCAGAGCTGCGGTGGCTGTGGGCGACGGGATGGTGACCTTCATGGGCAGGGAGGAAGCGTGCTCAGAGGTGGCCCGGTCTTTCCTCTTCAGCAATGGGTCTCAGGACTAAGGAAAGGCACAGAAGAGGATAAAGGAGGCTGCACGGGCCACCGACTCCCATCGGAAGAAACGGCCCACGGAGGTGCACCGTGGAGCCCTGCATGATTCGTCCCGGGAGAGCCGCCCGGCTTGGGAGAAAAACGGGCGCGGTCAAAGGGTTGTGGGAACCTGGTGGCAGCTGTTTCCCTTCCCCTGCAGCCCAGCTCGGGGCCTGTGGGGAGCCCCGGGGCTGCCCTCCGCCGGCGCAAAGCGAGCGGGTCCCCCCCGCAGCAC